ATGAGGCGAGTCGAAAGGTGCATCGAACATGTATGACCATCCACGTGATTACATTCATATATCTTTGTGGTGTCCACTGTCTGAAAGTGTACTCATATGTATTGTCATGGGGCCATACACACTGCGCGGGAGGGAATTCTGACTTTACTCCTACACCGGGAAGAAAAATGATGTTCTCACCACGGAAGGTAAAATAAAGAAGGCTTACCCACGTACTGACCACCCTCGCCTTCGGCTCAGGCAGTAATTCTGCACGTGGACAAGCCTTCTTTACTTTACCTCACTAGGTGAGAAATATACTAATTCCTTCCTTCGTGCACAATATACTATGTTCATACTTTTCAAAAGTAGTGGCTTTTTTACAGTTGTTTCACATCCCCTCGAACCGCCAGGGGGTAACAACGATTGACCAGGGCTTAGGATGCTTGAATTTCACCACGTACTCCACCCAGCCAAAACTTGAATTTGGAAGTAGCTTATGATTGGTCGAATTTTAGAGTGTAATCAGTATCTGGTGAATGCCAATAAAGAACAAAAAATATTCCTATACATGGTGAGAACTAAAGAATTTTTATGTGAAATGAAATAGAATATCGTATTTTCTAAATCTTCTTTATGATCTTCTTTATGAGAGTAGAAACACAAAAATGAAGTTCGCCCAAGTCGAAATATCTCGAAACGCGTAAGACTAATTCCTCATTGGCCAACTCGAACCGCCAAATTCAAATTCGGTGCACGGAGTGCGCAGTAGGTCTCGTAGGCTATGGAAACCGGTAGGTCTACCGGTAGGAACGATCAATTACTTGTCTCAATAAAGGCATATGACTGTTACTTTAAACGTTCTTTTTTATTTTCGTTTCCTATCAACGCTGTTAATAGTAAGCTGACGGACAGATGGTGCTAGAAGCCAACAAGAAAAGTATTCACTTCAACATGTCGTCATTGAAATATTGAAGAAATAAGATGAATACAAAAAGTCGAATATCTTTTAAACTATCTGTCCGATTGAGCCTCGATTCAATCGCACCCAGAGTTATCATAAAAGATGAGTTTTAAGGCCGAATTTAAAATTAATACATGCATTTTTATACGACAAATATACCGCAAACACCAATTTTTATATGTTTATATGGTTATATGTGCTTTAATTGTTTTAAATTGATTTCATCGCGGAGAGTGTTGGAGAAAAAGTCAATCGGTTATATATTTGGCAAGATATTCTCGAGAAAGTGTAAACAAATAAATGGCTTGTTCTCAGAAAGTACTGAACCGATTCGGGGGAATCGATCGCCAGAATTAATCTCAAGTGATGCGAATCAACTCATGAATTTTACGAGTCTTTACGGCGAACTCAGCAGTTTATTTGTTAATTTTAAGAAAAAACGACTGCTGACTGACCACTACACCACATACAGTTCGTATTTTTACGTTTCATATTATTCTACATTCTGTTCAAGTAGAAATAGAAAATGTGAAACTCCATCGATTGAAACACTTCCGTTTGGAAGCAAAATCGGCCAAAAATTAAGAGATTATTTGACTATTACTTTAATCACCGAAAAAATGAAGATTAATTTTGAAGATGATGAGGGTCAATTGAATGTGCCATGGAATTTTTCACAAACTAAGTATATATTTATTATTAATTATAAAGTGAAAATTTCATAATGTACATAACCACTTGACCTATCCTATTGTGGAAATCTAGTATACCATCCAATGATGTTTCGTCAGACAATGATTTACCCTCGGTCGACGGTTGTGGACTACCTCCCGCCAGATATATCCAAATAATTGCTCTGCACTTTCAATCTTCCCTCGCTCATTCGTAAAATCAGCCACTAATTTTCCCCAAGAACATTGAATCACCAACTAAAAATTATGGCACAATGAAAATCGTAATTAGTCCTCCCATGCAAATTACTCAATTACATCGTAACCGTGGAATTGTAAATTAGCCTATTTTCCAGGAAGCAGCAATAACTCCTTTACCGGATTTCGAGAGATAAGTGAACCATTACCCACTTCAACTGATTTTTATAACAAAAAATCGACAAGTAGAGAAATCGAAAGGACTTACCGCTATTTTCCATTGAAATTAATGAATACCCACGAAAAAATTGTGTTATATTATATTAATTATCCCATATCGACAAATTCTATGTGTACATTTGAACTCCAACTCTCAAAATAGAGAAGAAATGAAAAAATTGAGAATTTGGTCTTAATTTATATTATTATTCTATATTTTTTTTAGAAAAATCCGTGGTTTTTGTTTTATAGAATTGGAAATCGTTATCAGGTAATGAATAATGTGAACATTTGACTAGCGTAATGCTTCCACTCAAAAGAAACAAAAAGTTGTAGTATTGTTCCGGAGGAGTGTGTTACTACTCACTAAAATCAAAATATAAAAGTTATGAGATTTCGCCAGTGAAGCGAATGCATTTCTCGGAAGAAAAAAAATTGCAGAAAACGCGGCACTAAATATCGAGGCAAGCCATCGGCAGTGTTTCACTTGTTACCTCTTGAAATTGCAACAAAAATGGGTTGTGCCAACCCCTTTCGCAGGTTGTCTCGGCTTAGCATTTCTCGTTCTCTTGGACATTGCTATGAGCGATAGAGAGTTGCGAAAACCCATGCATTCTTAGACAGTGTACCTGAAAATACCTTCAAGGCATAAACTCCGGGTTTGACTTGTTACCTCAGGCACTTTAAAAACAGCCGTCGAAACGCTAACGGTAGTCAATTACCAACCGACCTGCGCACCGAGTTCATGCGGAACTCTTCGCTCTCCCCAAAACTACGTCTTTTCGCTGGGAACCACTCATTCATTGAAATTATTACCATTGAAATGATCATCATTGTGAGTTCATCCGATTTACTCAATTGCTATTTTACGGTTCGTTAATCTAGTGAAGTTGAAATCGTGTTCTTCTCCATTTGTATTTAACGCTCCCCTCAATTTACCATTGAGTGATATTTTTAATTAGTGAAAGTGAATCTCAGGTGTAATTTATAATGACCACTTAATCGTGATTTATACGAATTATTCGGAAAAAGCGATGGGAAATTGAAAACAGTCGAGCAAAATTACGCGAATAGCAATTCGTTAGATTTGTTCTAAAAGCTATTATATATTTTGCCCGTCTGTTTCGGAAAGAGGGTCTCTAAAATTATTAATTATAATATAGTTTCCTAAATGATTATTCAAGGAAACCACTATTTTGAAGAAAGAATTGAAATTGGTTCAATAGTTTATGAGATATTTTAGAAAATATATTTAGACAAACAATTAAACATCTCAAGAATCGCTGCACCGATTGCTTTTATCCATAATACCGACTTTTCATATTCTTCAGGCTAAATTTATAAAAAATTGTGGCTCGCTATCTCTATTATTTTTCATGTTGTCGTGTAAACAAGATTTTTCAATTAAAAAGGGAAAATGGCGATATCTTCAAGTTCGGTACAAAGAGATAGATGTGTTTCGATTAAGATCTGGCATTTCCGCACATTTGTAGATATTGAGGAAAAACTAAATTTGAAGAAGTTTTTGTATCTCAAGAACATCGCGAGTGGTAATAAAGCTTAATTACAGCTACTGTAGAGTTAAATTTCCGATTGAGTTTCACTTTATTTATATCCAATTTTTTCAACATTTATTGCCAAACAACCAAGTTATTGGGCTTATACATACGTAGAGGAAAAAACCATTGAAAGACATGCATATGACTGTTTCATGAACGTGAGACGAAGTGTTATTTTATATAGGAAAAAAAAAAACGGAATTAACTCGAATTTTTCGGTTACTGTCACATCATTTTTCCTCGAGTAGAAATTACGTTGAACTCAAGTAAAAATTCAGGCTAGTTCGGTAATTATGCACTCAACTAAATTTCGTTCCACGCGTATGGAACTTTCATGTGCTTTTTATAATTTTTTTCATAAAATTCTGGATAATTTGGAGTCATAATTCAAGATTCTGAAGCAAAAAGCTTGTTTTGAAAATTTATTGATTTATTCACCGTATTTCAATATATTGGACGTATTGAAAAATCTCCATTTTATCCTACTTGTTTGTAAACCGGTACTTACTAAGATAACACAAGAAGAATATGTAATTACTCATTACGGTTCAATTGTCAATTCATGGATTATAATCCGAGGACATCCTGTTTGGAAAGATTCACCTATCGATGCATACTTTCTAACATCAGCGATTTGCCTTACGTCACGATTCTCAATATAACCTTTTGAGATATATTGTTTTTGTTCCAAGGCAATCTTTCTGGTAACGATGTCAACTAGCTTCATCGAAGCAGTGGAGGTACATCAGAATACTCGAGCGCCCTTCTCCCATCGACGCCAATATCAAGGGGTGGATGGTTAGTCAGTTACATCTTCTAAGCGCTCCTTCAAGCACGAAAAACGTTTCTAAAACTTCAATTGAAAAATTACGCACATTTACATTCCAACATAATCACATTGTGACGGTACAAAAAAAGTATCTAAGACTTTTTTCGTATTACTGATTGAAAAAAAAACTTACGATAAAAAAATTTAACAATTGATCTCGTTGATTGTTATAAACAAATCGAGGAAAATGCAGGATTTCCGTATTCATTGTTTATTAAAGGAACATTGATATTGATAAAAGTTTAATAAATTTCAGTGATTAATCACTGCTTTTATTCCCTAGCACCCTTTCAAGGAAATCATCGTACAGCTAGCCAAGAAGGATATGCAAATTCTCGAGACAACAATCAAATAGAGAAAAATCTGGCTTACAAACCATTTGAATCAGCTCCGAACCACATAAAACGTCTGATCTATGACGCCTATGGCCCCCAGCAAACTTACGTCAACCCTCATGCCTTTTTCTACAAGAACTACGTCGGACTTCCTGATGATTTCCTGACATCGGGCGACCAGCACGAAAGAAGACAGGGTCAGGAGGCTCTAGAGACAGTTGTCTCATCCACAGCACAGCCAATCTCTTACAGGACAGGGTATCCTCAGAGATCTGATGCGGTTGCTCAAGTTCGCTCCAATATGCTCCAAAAAGGTGGGATCAAGTACAAGGAAGGCCACAATCAGAATGACCAGCCACAGTTGTTCTCGCCACATCGCAACTACGGCTTAGTCAATTCTCTACGATCTCACAGGAACTCAGAGCAGATGAAGAGGTCCCCTGACCCGGAAGTATCTGAAGACGAAGAGAATCAAGAGCACGCTATGCCTCCTGCCATTCAGACTCTTCTAAATTATCAAGCACAAATTCCGTACAATGTTCTTGCCAATCACATTGTTTTCGAGACGAAAAAACCTTTCGTGCCGAAACCTCTTCCCCAGGACTTGAAGAGCTCATCTCAGTATCCGAGTGAAATATTCTACATCAAAGCTGATGGACAGATTCTCGAGGAGGTCCCTACGATGGGAGTCAGTGGCGGGCAGATCAACTATAACAATTCATGAAGGTCATGAAGTCAATTATTAGAGACCAGTGATGGGCACTCATAAGTCTATTTAAACGTTAACGCTCAATAAAAAGTATTAATGTTAACTGTTTACTTCTTTGGAAATAAATCGAAAGTCTTAAAAAACTTAGCACTCGAAACTTCTTCAAATTTTAAGTCTCGGAGGATACAATGACTTCACTTTTGTCAAGTACGAATTCCCTTGGGTCTCAGAATAGGCTATTTTTTTATCAAATTTGCATTCCAAGAGGACTTGAAACTTTTGTAAGCTCCTAGTCCTTTTGAATTTAGAATTTGAAGATAATCGTATATATCGTATATAATTAATCGTACTTCACTATTCAGGTTATTCAAACAAGATGTATTGAAAATTTTTTATTAATTTTACGATTTGTTCAATAATTTTTAAATATCATTCATTAGAACTTATGATAATTAAATTTCGGAATAATATAGCCTATGTTTTTTTAGACTTTTTGCATGAAAAATTCCAAGGCCAAAGGAGAAGTATTTCTAGAAGTATTTAAACTTGGAAATTTTCAAGTATCAATTACTATTTAAATTGAGACTTAGAAAAATCAAAGTCTGTAAGTCCCTCTTGGACTTTTGTCATGAAAATGGTTAAGGTTGTTGTCGCGTAGAATTTTTTTTCGACAGTTTCCGTTAAAAATTTTATGGTGAATAGTTTGAAAAATTAGCAACAAAATGAGCCTTTTCCGTTTGCAATTG